TTTCCAACATCTTTAAACAATGCTGCAATGAACATTATTGGACCTATATCCTTGCCCAGTTATTTCCTTTGGGTAAATTTGCACAATCACTGGGTCAAAAGTTGCTGTCCCTTGACATCCCAGCAGCAGGGAGGGGGCGCATCACTGAAGCAGGAAGTCCTAAGTCCTACCATTTTGATGGCTAAACTTCAGGTGAAAGCCGTGAGGACAGCAGCGGCTGCAGCTCCAGCTCATGTCACCCGGGGCCGCTTCCAATCCACCCCCACTGTTCCTCACCGACCCGAGGTTCCAAGCATGAAACAATTTTTGGTTTTGTTTTTGTTTTTAAACAGAAAGTGCCTGCTACTTTCTGGAAGGTGAGAAAGGCAGATTCTGGGTACAGCCCTTACGCAAGTTTAGGGAACACAGCTGGCAACAGAATCAAACGCTTTTTCAAACCACCCCCACCTAAGCAGTGAGGGAAAGAGCTTGAGTGTTGACAATTAACGGCTTTCCCTCCCTGGGGAAGGGCAGACTGAAAAACTCTGCTTCTGACAACTCAGAGCCAGAAAGGCTGTCCATGGGTAACTAGCCCTGGTCGTGGCCTTCCTCCCCTTCCTTCTTCTCTTTGACCACTTTTTGGATCTAGAACAGCCTGCCTTCCAGGCAAGCAAGGGAGACAATGAAAACACCACACATCATGGTCAAAAGTGGGTAACTGCCATGGAAATATTGCAATCTTGATTACAATGCTTTAGAAATCCTCTGCACCGCATCTTATTTGAACACTTAGAAACAAGCTAGTTCTATAAAACACATATTGTAAAAGTATATTAGCACATTTACTTCTTTGGCAGGGTTGTTACACATTGAATGACACATTTCTCTGACTCCTCTCCTCTCCTCTATCCATGGCTCACCCTACCCCCCAGGACGCTGGGCCCTCCCTTGCAGGGACTCAGTCAGGCCAGGCTTTCCTCAGCTTAGCATTGGCTGTTCCCTCTGGCTGGAACGCTTGTCCCCCACATGGCCCTGAGGTGCAAGGGAAGCCTTTCAAACCCACTACGTGTAACGCTGCATCCTCCTGGCTCCCAAACACCCACACTATTAGCCCCTCCTGGCCATGGTTCTCTCCTTAGGGCACATCACCACATAACCTAGTGTGTCCTTTGATTATAATTCTCTGCCCGTTCTCTGCCCTGCTCTCTCCCCTTCATGGTTCTCAGCACACAGTTGATGCTCAATACTCAATGATTAAAGCTGACTAACCCACACATCTGTGAGAAAATACATTTATTTTCTTAATTTGAAATATCAGGCTTCTATCCAAGGACTTCTCTGGTTAAAAGGTTACTCCTGTCATCAGTTTGAAAGGACTAGCCCTCTGATATAAATCAGAGTGCAAAGGGAATACGACATTGTTTAAACAATGGCAGAGGCAAACCGAGGTCGCAGGAAGGGGCAGATTTCCAACTGACAACATGCAAGGTGGCTGGCATCCAGAAGTCTTTTTTGGTAGTCTCCAAGTTAAAGAACCGAGACAAGGGATAGGATCCTAAGGTGTATCAGACCTGCACCCCAGCCTACCCCAGACTGCAATTATGCCATGTTCTGAGGGAGGGAGCAGCTATCACAAACCTGATCACCACCATGCTTTAATCACAGTCAAGGTCAGGAGGGCTACTGGCCACTCCAGGTCAGAATTAAAAAGCAAAGGGAAAAGAAATGCAGAAGCAAAAGACCCTCCTCTAGAGGCTCCGAAATTACAGCCAATCCATCCTCATTATTTGCAGATTCCATACTCACTAAAATGTATGTGTAATTCCAAAATCAATAGTCCCAGAGCTTCTCCAGTCCCTCACAGACAGGCAGAGAGTGGCCAAAATGTGAGTTGCCCCACGCGCATGTTCCCAGTGAAGCGGAACAAAGAGACATGCTCTGCCTTGTTTCAGCTCTGGTGCTGTAAACAAGTGTCCTTTCACGGGCCAGCTAGTGCCACACTTTTTGCAGTTTTGCTTTGTGCTGGGGAGTCGGCTGTTGGAGGCGGCCCCCAAGCCCAGGGCTGAAGGGCTGGCCAACATTGCTGAGCCCAGGAAGGCTGGGATGGGCCTTACAGAGAATGGACCATGGTACTCAGGCAAGCTTGGCTCGGGCCTGAGCCACAGGCTGCTGGCCTGTGAGTCCAACATTAACAAGTCAAGGATGTCTATAAAAGAAACTGGCTCTAAACAGAAACACGCATAAAACAAGGTACCAGATAGCTTAGCAGATGAAAGTAGTATGACCGGAGGCCCAGAGGAAGATGTAATATAAAGCCTAGCAATGGCTCCGTCTTCTCTACTTCAATGTTCACAGAGACTTTACAGAAAACTGTCACCACGAATAACGAGAGAAACAAGCCGATATTAAAATGGCTGTTTCCTGTCCCACATCTTTTGGCACACTCCCCTCCACCACCCCCACGGCTCACTCCATCTGCTCCTCTTTGCACGGGGACTCTCCCACTCGCTCGCTCGCACAGCGGGCCTCTGCTCAGGTGTCTTCCAGTGACCCCGCCCCCAGAACCCGTCACCTCACTCTTCGGCTGCAGTGATGACAACCAGTAATTATTATCTACCTCGCCCTCAACTAAAATCATAACTCCCTGAGGGCAGGCCTTTGTCTTATTCACCCACAGACCCGCACTGGCCGACCCAGTGCCCAGCCCAAGGTGGGTGCCCGGAGCTTGATGGCAGGGACACGGCCCACCTCGGAGCTTGGGCAGTGTGACAAGTGTCGGGGCACTGACGCTGAGGGTGAAAGGCACTGCTCCTGAGTCTGACAGGAAATATATATTAGACCGGGGGCTACATGTGGCTATTCAGCACGCAAACGTGGCTGGTCCGAGTTGAGATGTGCTCTAAGCGTAAAATATGCACAAGAATTTGAAGACTTAAAAAAATGTACATACACACACACACACACACACACACATGCTTATATATACATACACACACACACACACAGGCGCGCGCGCGTAAAACATCTAATTTACTACTTGTATATTCATTTTATGTTGAAATTATATTATGTTGGGTGTTCAGGGCTAAACAAAACAGATTAAAATAATTTCAGCTGTTTCTTTTTTACTTTTTAAGGTAGCCACAAGGGAAGTTTTCATGACTTAGGTAGCTTGTGTCATACCTCTGTGAGTCCACCTTGGTTATAATAATACCAAGAAAAGGTCAGCCAGCAACACAAGCCGGCTTTGACTACTTCTCTGCAGAGCCTAGTGCTCTCCAGAGCAAGGCTGGAAACACCTGTCCTGCAGCTTCCTGTCACACACACACTTAAGTGTATTCAGAAAAAGGACTGTGAAATCAGAGCTAAAAGTTTATCAGGTGAACCAATTTTAGACTCAGAAGGTAAGCACCCTGTGGAGCCTTCTTGTTCATGCCTCCCCCGCCAAAAGCCTATTTCTGAATCGTCTATGCAGAGTTGGAATGGCAAGAAGGGAGCTAGAAGGGATGTGGAAAGTTGACCTGGCCCTGGCACATCACTGAACCATGAGACCATGTACCACCAACAGCCTCATCTAGAGAAGAAGCAGAGCCCACTTTCCAGAACTGTGCTCTCCAGAACTTTCTACAATGACAGAACTGTTCTCTGTTCTGTCCAATATGGTGGCTACTAGGCTTTTGAAATGTGACTACTGAATTTCTCATCTTATTTCAATTAATTTAAAGGTAAAGAGCGACACATGGCCAATGGCTGCCACATTGGACAGCACAGTTCTAGGCTCCCATGACAGGAGATAAAGCTTGTAAAAATCACTTTGTAACTCCAAAGCCCTAGAGAAATGGCAGGGGTTCTGTTGTTTAATGTATTAGAAATACGAGATTCTGAGAGATTTCAAATGTCCCAAGAGACTCAATCCACTAGAAGTCAAAAAAAATATTTTAAATAAATATGCAGGTTTTACTTCACCTGGGGGAGAAGGTCGGCCAGTGTTCGTGGATACATACAATCAGAATAGAAGGGTGAGCGATAACCTTCACACACAACTCAGAAAACATGCTTTCAATCCTTTTTTTTTCCCCCACACTCAGATTCAGTGCCTCCAGGGCCTAACCCTACAGTCAGAAATCAAGGCTGCCAGTGTCCTCCGCACAGTTTATTCTTATCTCCCACACCCTCATTCTTAGGGACCAGATGTTTCCTGCCCTATTTGGTGACCTTCCCTACTACTTCTCCTGCTACAGAAACAGGTCCTCCCAATTGCTCCCTGCAGTCCTACGGTTCTCTGAGTCATTCACCGGCTCTCAGACCCATGCAGGGCTTGTTAAGATTCGCTGACGATGGTAAAAACCACCACCACTAAAAAAGGATGGGGACTAATTGGTAGCTGCAAAGAATGCTCATCTGTTTACACTCACGTTGGAAGATGCTCATGAAATTCAAATCAAGTTCTAGTCTCAAGTGCCTCTCCCCAGCAGGAAAGCCCTTCCAGTCTAAATAGCTTTCTGCTACCATTAAGATCATTACATTCCACACGTAAACAGACAATAAGGAAATGAGCAGGGAAGTGGAAGGAGGGTGAATTTTTAGGACAGAAAGTCAAAAACTGTAGAAGTCTAAGGAAATACTCAGTGTTTCCAAATACAAATGTAAGGAGCCACCCTAAGATACTGGAGAGCTTTTGTAAATTCTATTCATTCTTCTCCATTATAGAGCGCAGCTAATTCTCCCTTCAATCCTTCCAAGCTCTTCCGCAGACGCGTGAACTTTAGTGCTCCATACAGCCCTTGATTTTGGCCCCACCAAGCTCCCATGATGAAAAACATGTGAAATAGGATCCACATGTGTTCCACCCACACGCTGGGCTCAGCAGCATATTTCATTCTGTCAGACAGTGTGCTGTTGCTCAACTCCACGGAGGGGACGCCAGCAGTCATCCTCCAGCTATTAAAACAAGATCAAGCCTCCTGGTGTCAGCAGGACTGACACCACCTCACCAAAAACAGGGACCCAGCCTCCGGTACCTCAAGTTCAGTCTCCCGTCTGTTGATGTCATCTGTGGATTGATTTAACTTCTCCAGTTCTCCCTAGTGAAGAAAAGAGAGGGAAGAAAGATTTAAGGGATTCGTCTTTTGTTTCCAATAGGACTGAGCTCACTCTCTGCAGAAGTACTCCAGCACAATTTGTAGGAAGAGGGATGAGTCACTATTAGTTCTCAAGGACAACAGTTGAGCCCTGGCTTGAAGAGCAAATGAATGCCGGTTATATCTGAAATCTTTTTCTTGATGTTGATGGTGTCTCTTTCAAAAATGCCGTGAAGGTCCCAGAAATTTTTGTCTTAGAAAGTGAAGTATTTATTGCAGGTATGTGACTTCAGGTAAACCCACCTGTTACAAATGGTTTAGGAGTCAAATTAAAACAGTATCTCCTGCCTCTAAGCAAGAACTTTGCAGAAAAGACAATAAAAGAAAATAAACAAGACCAAGCTGAAACTATAAACCCAAATGAAATTATTTAAATCAAGGGCAGAATTCTGACATTAACTCCTTCGTGGTTGAGTTATTTTTCTAGAAATGAAAATCTTTTCAAACTGTCAATTAAAACTACCTGTTTTAACAAAACAAAAACTAGCTTTAATCCTGATCCTTTAAATAAACATTTAAAAACTGACATTTTGTAGAAAGTATCCAGTGAGAAGTTAACTCATTTTACTCTCCAAACAAAGGATCTGGTAAACAGAATTCCCGTACCAGGAAAACAAGATTTAGTAGTCTGAGTAGTGATTTTAATTAATAGAATTCCTAATGCAAAGATTTTTCCACCTGATCTTTATCTTGCTAATCTGCCAAAACAATTCATTTAAATGGCAACAGCTGAGTTAAAATGGGCTTTTAATTGATCTGCGCACTGAAAAACCAATTAGGGCTCTAGAAATTGCAGAGCACGATTAAAAGCAATGTGTGTATACATATATATAGATATATAAATGATTTATGGAAAGGGTAGAAAAACGGGTCTCGGAAAGGGATTTGCTGTGCTTTTTGCCTAGAGGGTGAGGAGGTTAAGCTGTCACTCCTAGATCTTGGCTTAGAAATTGTTTTTTAATCATCTCTCTCAGAAATGGAGGCACAGAAAGCCAGGCCAATCCCCTCGCCTTCTCCCCGCGTGAGCTTTGCGCATCAGTTGTCCCCGATTTCTGTTCACACCCCAACCTCCTAACAAGGAAAAGCTGGGTTTTCGACCTTTAGAAGCCAATCGGAGGTTTGAGCCTGTGGCGACAATAAGCCCTTCGCTTACAATGAATCAGACGAGGAGGAAGAAGGATGGCTCAGGCGAGCACCTCCGCCAGGTGAGGGCTCGCAATCCGGACACGGGTGCCAGCCCACGCTGCAGGGGCGAACAACGCCCACAGTGCCCAGCGCCCACGCGGCCCGCTCGACCCCGCCGCCCATAGCCCGGAGGCCGCGGGATGCCCGCTGCGCCGCGAGCCTGGCGGGGGGGGACCCCGCCACACGCATGGCGCCCCCACCCCCTTTTTCCCTTTGTTGTACATCCGCCCGAACCACTGGACATGCTGCGGCGACCCCCAGATCCTGCCAGGGGTCTGCGGGGGCTCCCCACGATAGAGTCAGGCCGCATTCACGCGGACACAGCAACCTCCCCGTGAACCCCGTGAAACTGGAAATCCGGACCCTCTCTTCTCGGCCCCGGACCTATATGGCTACCACCGCCAGGACCGCAGGCACTGGGGGCCGCGAGGCGGGTGTAAGTGCGGATGCCCGCCTCCGTGGCGTCCCCCCTCCCCCCGTGAGCCCTACCTGGATTCGAGGGTCCACCTCCTCTTCCTCCTCCAGCCCCTGTTCCATTCCCTCTTCCTCGTCCTCCTCCTCCAAGTCCCGGGCCGACGGCGGGAGCTCTGCCGGCTCCTCCGGGCGGTTCCGCTTCAGCGCCGCGTCCATAGGGGCAGCGAGAACGCTAACCGCGCGGGGGACTTCGGAGCGTCGGGAGGGGAGGCAGCCGCCGCGGGCTCGGCCAGAGCCGTCTCGCCCCAGCCCGGGGGCGCCGCTCGCGGATGCGGATCCTGCCGGCCCCGGCTGAGCGAAGGAAATGGGCGCGGCCGCCCCCTTTCTGCCGCGGCCGTCAGCGCAGCGGCGCCCGCTCCGCCCTCGCCCCGCCGGGCCGCCCTTGGCGCTGTGACTGTTCGCCGCCAGTCCCAGTCAGCCACCCAGGTCTCCGTCACAAAAACCCCAGTTCCCTGAACACCTTCAAGGGGGTGAACCAGGAGAGCCGCCTCCCTTTGTCAACTTAGCAGCCAGATCACAGACTACCCACCGTTTGGCCCCCTGCTTTCGGGGTAGCTTTCTCTCTCCCTCCTGAACCAGAGCAAATTGTATGGAAGGAAAGTTTGGGGCATTGCCACTGTCTGAAGTCACCTTGAGAAGCTTGGACTCAGTGACCCTGGACCAGTTTCAAGATCCTCAAATCCCTGTATGCCTCCAAAGCACCTTTCTCCCCTTGGGTGAACCTTCGTAAATGGATCTACCTGAAGAGTTCCCCCAAAACAGGGAAGTGAAACATATGCTCACACAGACCCAGAAGTACAAAGAGGGGAGCCGAGTGCAGCTTTGTGCCTGGAGCCCTTAGCCAGAGGCTAGGTGGTCCCTGCTGGGCAGAGCTCCATACCCAAACACCCACACTCTCATAGCTGTGCCATGGTCCTACCTGAATAGCCAAGAAGCATGGACAATCCATTGGTGATCAGGGATGTGGTTGGGTGGGTACAGCCTTCCCCAGGCCAGAGTGGTTGTAACCCCCGGTGGTGGGCAGGCTCTGTCCAAGGATTTGTGAACTGGCAAGGTTTCCTGCCCACCTTGAGTAAGGAGGGAGCCAGAGTTTGCCTGGGAAACTCAACATCTGGAGGCCAAAGAAGGAAGGGGCAGGTCTGCTTTTGTGAAATGTCAGGGCCACTGTGATGTCAAGCGAACACAAATTCAGATGACCTTAGCCAAGCAGGCAAGGACACTGCCACCAGCCATCGCTAATGTCTCCACTACAAAAATGCAGAATGTGTACACTTTCTACACAGGCTTGTGGCTCATCAACTGTGAGTTGGAAGAACAAACTCGCTTGAGGAAAAAGCTTTCTGAGAGCCTGTCTTGAAAGCCACCTTTGGGAAACCTGCCTACCCTGGCTTCATTAGAGGCTGGTGGTGGGGGGTGGGGGGGATGTGTGTTACTCCCCTGGCAAGGTACCCCCTTCCCATGCTGGCACTGTGGTCCACTGTGAAAGGAGATTCGTTCTGTCTCCTGGAGGTAACACAGGCACACACATTGAGTTTGGTTCAGAAACAGTCATCGTTCTTAAAGTCAAGGGAGAGCCTGCAATTCTCTGAGCGAGGTCCTGAAACCCCTTGCTAAAAACCTAGCTGTGTTTGCTTTTTCACCAGTGTTTCCCCGGTGGCTTGGACGAAGCCTATAACTGAGCAGGTTTATCCTAGCTGTGAATAAACTGAGAGACAGAGGTCGAAAACAAGAAGAGTGAGGTCAGCCCTGACTCTTAACTCGCTTCTCAGGCAGTGGAACCCCACCCTCACCAATCTAAACCACAACCTCCCAATGAGCTTCCATTTCAGCGCAGATCTAAGAGCCGTTGAATGGTTCAGAATGCCACTACGGACACGGGGAAACTGCTCTAAAACATCCATGTGGGCTTTTTTTTGTTATCGTATTTTTAGGAGACCTGGGCCAGGTATAGTGTTAATCCCAATAGTGTTCGGAAGTTAAAATAAGGGAAATAAATCACAGTACTACTCCCTGTATTTTTTTTGTTGGTACATAAATGCATAGGAACCGAAGCAGGGAGTGAACTGAGGGTGACAAGGTGTAGGTCCTTGTGTGGTTACAGGGAAGGCCTCTTCAAGAAGGGTGCTTTGAGTCAAGACCTGAGAGAAACAAGAAAATGATCCCCATCTACCTTCATGGGGAGAGCGCTCCAGCCACCGAAGCCACGTGTGTAGAGGTCCCCAGGTGAAACCGTGCCTCTGGTCATGGAGAGCCAGGGACACGAAATCTGAGACCTGCAGGTGGGTAGACCCGGGAGGGCCATGACATGGTAAGGAGCTCGGGTTTTAGTGAGTGATATGGAGTGTGGGAAGTGGAATGGGGTCCCTGGGGAGCTGGGGGCAGAGGGACAGAAGGAGATGAGTTAGGCCAACGGTCTAGCGGTGGTAGAGGAGAGACGCCTCTGCTGGTTGTTCCGCTTTCCCAGCGGAATGGCGAGCACAGTCAGCAGCTGAGAATAAGGGAGTGAGGGAAGGCTTGGAACAACACTGGATACTGGAGGAGAGACACTGAAGGAGCTGGGAAGTCAGTTGACCAGGTGAATATCTTCTAATTTCCAGACTGCCCTGAGGACCCACCTGTGGTTTGGGATGCTCCTGGGTGGCCAGTCCATGGGGATGAGTGGCTTTTCCCACCCAAGCTGAGCTTCCAGACACAGGTGGAGAGTAGTGAGAACGCCACCCTTAACCAGGGTTGGGACTCTCTCAGCAAGGTCTTCCGGTGGCGAGGGAGAAGCATAAGGGGCTTGAGGGCGACTGCAGGTGTAACAACTTTTAATGATGGCCCATGGAATCAACACTGGAGAAGTGAGGGAGAGATTAAAATACCAGGGAGCAATGTTGCAGCCCTGAGTCAGGAGAGAAAGAGGGAATGAATTTAAGACTGTATGGAAGTTGGTGGCTAATAATATCTGGAGAGAGAAAACTTAAAGATGATTCCAGAGTTTCTAGTTTGAGTGATTGGATGACACCATTAATTAGGACCTATGCTATAGAGATTTTGGTTGGGAAGAAAACAAATTTGTGTTTTGGATGTGAAGGAGGAAACCCTAGAAGTTGAGCTATGTTGCATTTGGAAATTGGGACCCAGGTTCTCCAAGGGTTGAACAAAACTCCCTGGAAGGTCTTTCTTGTTGCCTCAATATACCTCCTTGACTTAGCAAGTGTATCGTCGCTCCTCTGATCTTTGAGAATAAGGAAGGTTGTATTTCTCCTCCTCTGCCCCACTCCTTAAGCCTAAGGGTATCAGGTATTTACACAGAGATTTTTTTTTTAATGTTTTTTAAAGAGAAATTTGCAAGCCGTTGTGGCCAGCAACGTTAATTCAATGTTTTTGAGCATGTACCTCATGCAGACACTATTCCAGGTCCCAATCTGAAGGCCCCAAGCATACAAAACAGCAAAGTCATAGTGTCTTCTGATTTGGGAAGACACAGCCCCCACAAAAATTGTACCTCCAAATTGTGCAACCTTATGAATTCCTCATTGAGAAGGCTCTTCCTGTCAAACTTGAGTGTCATCAAATGAAAATTCCCTGCAACACCAATTTTTTTAAAGATTATGTGAGAGAGAGAGTGTGTGTGTGTGTGTGTGTGCGCGCGCTGACCTGACACACAAGCACAAGTCAGGGGAAGAGCAGAGGGAGACGGGGAGAGGGAATCTCAGCAGACTCCCCACTGAGCGCAGAGGCGATGTGTGCATAGAGCACCACCTGGGCAGAAATCAAGAGTCCAGCGCTCAACCAACTGAGCCACCCACGGGTCCCCACCAATTTTTTAAGCCCACAAAATAGAAACTGCCTGTTAACCCCTATAAAAGAGAAAACTGCTCTTCTGAACTAAGAAGACCTGAATCTGCATTCCCATCACATTCTGGGAGAGGTGACTGAAGAAACTGACAACCAACATCTTCTCTTGGCCCACCTGTAATCTTTACACGCTGCCTTAGGTCAGAGATTGCAAACAGGGAGCTACTGTTTGGATCACCCTAGGGCATGTGTGGTCTGGCTGACACAGTGTTTTATAAATCTGAACCTGCAGTTAAAACTCCAGCAATGCAATATGAAAATTCAGACTTCCCTGCATGGAGAGAGTCCTGAGGAGACATGAGGAGTGGGTGGCCTTTTAAAAAGGTCTTGCACACTCATGTCAACCTGAGTCCTACAGGCAGACTCTCTTCCACCAGCAGACTGCACACAGGTGAACCCCCACCTCTCTTCAGCACCCCAGTGGGAAGCTGGTTCCCTCTGCCTTTCTCCCACTCTCTCTTCTCTCCCCACAGACCGCAAAGGATTATGGCACATGGCAAGATGGAAGAGAATTTTAAAGGAGACTTCCAAACTCTTCAGCCCTACTTTTTGGCCCCAGATGACTGGTTGTCAGAAGTCAAGAAGCTACAGAAGCCAGTTCTTGGAAAGAGATCAGGGCCTCCGCATTAGCAAGGCATCTGTTTCATTCCACGATTCAGTGACATCAGTGTGTTGCCAAATTGTCTTGCACTGTGGCCACACCCCTCTAATGAGAACCTTTATTTGTGTCCTGAACTGAATTACACTGAAGCCTCTTTGCTCAGATGAATTACAGGCCAGTGTACTTACAGAATCCAAAAAAGAGATTTTCAATGTTTATCTGTGATCTTAGGGGACCTGCAGATACTTAAAATGGTGCTGGAATCCTGGAGATAGAAAAAAGTGTTCCATTAGAAAGAAGAAAGAGTGTGCCTGGGTGGCTCAGTGGGTTAAGCCTCTGCCTTCTGCTCAGGTCATGATCCCAGGGTCCTGGGATCGAGCCCCACATCAGGATCTCTGCTCGGCGGGGAGCCTGCTTCCCTTCCCCTCTCTCTCTGCCTGCCTCTCTGCCTACTTGTGATCTCTGTCTGTCATATAAATAAATAAAATCTTAAAAAAAAAAGAAAAAAGAAAGAAGGTTTCGTACTCCGTGAACTAGTGGGCATAACAGATTGCAGACATGATTCTAGAGTGGATTTTAAAGGGGGAAAGGACATTTGGATGTCCCTGGAAGAAAAGTGATTGACCCTTGTGACCCCAGTTTGGGTTAGCCAAGAACAAATCATGTCAGCCATGCCCTCATTTACTTATTCCACGAGTTTATTAGTCTATGTAAGGAAGGAAACACGCAAGACAGGAGATCTTCATTGTTCAAAGATAATGGATACAGGAAAAGGCCACTTGAAGAAATCCACTCTAAAGGAAA